TTTAATAACAATTTAAATTTTAATAAAATAAAATTTAAAAATTTTAATTAATTAATTTTTGTGTAAGTTAGTTATTCTTTTAACCTAACTAATTGAGGTAAACCTTTTTCTTTTTGAATGCCTTCAAAAACCAATATGACAATTTTTTTAAATTCATATATTTTTATTCTAAAATAGTGAAGTATTAGAACTATGTCATTTTTTTTTATAACAAAGCATAATTTTAATTATTAATTGTCAATATAACAATTTTAATCTATCTATACTATATATTATAGTAAAAGGAACATTTAAAAAAAAAAATCCTTAAACTTATATATAAAATTTTATATACAAGAGACAAAATATAAAAAAAAAATTAAATATAATTATCGTATTTTTAATAAATAATATATTATTTTATCCTATGCATAGCACGGGTGATATGCTAATATTTTAATATAACAATTCAATATGTCTATTTTTTTTTTTTTTTTTTTCATTTTTGGGTTCTAATTACACCTTTCACTTTTATAGTTTGATTTAAAATTTACTTTAATTCCTACAATTTCAAATTGAACAATTTGATCTTTATACTTTACTTTAAGTGTAGTTTCAAACTTTCCGTTCAAATTGAAATTTAAAATTAACAATTTTAATAAACTTGTCAATTTTTCAATGCGTACACAGAAGAAATTAATAGAAATTTAGACAAAAGAATTGAATTAAAATTGAATTTAAATTGTAGGGACTAAATTGTTTAAAATGAAATAATAGGAACTAAAGTGAAATTTCAATCAAACTATAAGAATGAAAAATATAATTGACGCTTAACTTTTTTTACAAAAAAAAAAATCAAATTTAGAGAAAATGATAAAACACAACATAATAGTGACAATTTTCACATTCATTCCAGTTTATGATACCAAAATCACATGCTCCTCATTTGATGGAAAGATCCCATTTCAGAGAAACAACACAATCACAGAGATCACATTGAGATAACATTATCATAAGCAATAAAAAAAAAATTGCCGATAAAAGAAAAAAAAAATTGAGATAACATCAAATTTCAATCACTAACTTGAGAAGCCTAAGTCTATGCAGTATTGCAGTTCACATGTATAGATTTGAAATGTATAGATCAAATAAATTTGAAGAAAGATTTGTAATGTGAAAAGTGAATTAAATAACAACTAAACTTGCCTCAAATTCTAAATTCAAGCACATTCTTATTGATCATCCATTGGAAAAAACAGACTTTCAGTATAAGTTGTCATCGAAAATAATTACTAAAATTGAAATAAACTCCTTGAGGGGGTTGTATAATTTCAGTGATCCTGAAGCTTCTGCTCTTCATATCATAATAAAGTAGCCGAACTCCCGAAGACAATTTGCCAGAAGGCAATAGCAGGATTTCACCAGTTGGTATAGAACCAAGTGGATAAAAATTATAACCATAGTCGGAGCAAGAAGACGAAAAATCAATAATATGGTTGATCCAAACCTTTCTTTTCTTTTCTTTTTATATAAGTTAACCAAATAAGATAGGAGAGAAATCAATATCATTTCTTTTCTTTTCTCTCTTATCTACCCAAACAAATGGGAAAGAAATCACAATTTTTTTTAAATTTTTTTTTATTTTTTATAACTGACTTAATCATTTCTTTTCTTTTTTCTCCTAAGTTACCAAACATGGCCTTGTTTGGGAACCTAAGTTTGAGGCTCAAATAGCCTCAAACATTGAAAAAGCCAAATAGCCTCAAATAGTACCCTAAACCAATGATTTATATTTTAAAAAAAAAAGCAACAGCTCGGCAATAGGGTAGCCTACACTGTCACATTGACAGTGTAGTTAACAGCCTACCACTATTACATTGGTAGGCTGTCCCACGGATAGTAAATGACAATTTTGACCCTTTAGACCAATTTTGGAAAAAGTGAGGTTAAGGAAAAATTTGTCATTTCAGTTTCAAATATCATTTCAAACACACTTTTCAATACAATAATCAACCAAAAAATTCAACCCAACTTTTCAAATATAAAAACTAAAATAGCCTACTAAAATAACAAAATAGCCAAAAAGTCAAAAAAGTAGCCACTTCCCAAACAAGGCCGTTATAGCGACCCCGGTCTTTTCCCATTTGATTATAGTATCCGAACTGAGGTTCCGGTTATTCTGTCATTGAATAATTGTTGTTGTCGTCCTTTATTTTCTCATTTGGAGTTATAGGATGTGTTGGGCAGGCTTGTTTCAGGTTGGTTGGGTTCGTAAACCAAGTGTTGCTGTCCAGTTTTTGGGTTGTTCGCTCGAGCCAGGGTTTGGTCGCTTGAGCGAGGTTTGTATTTTGTGTCTTCTGGCTCGATCTAGATTTTCTTCCCTCGAGCGAGCGATTGCGTCTGGTTTAGACCTGAGGGCAGTGCATATTCGCTCGAGCGAGATTTTCTTCGCTCAAGCGAGAGAGGTGTATGTTTTCGAGTTCCTTGCTCGAGCGAGCATTCTGTCGCTCGAGCGTGCTCCAGGGTTGCAGACCTGAAGCATTGCATTCTTGGCTCGAGCGAGCTTTTCTTCGCTCGAGCGAGTTTTTCGTGTGTCTGGTCGCTCGAGCGACCAAGTCTTCGCTCGAGCGAGCCTGTCAGGTTTAAATAGGCAGCAGCGTGTTTCAGATCAGTTTTTCCCAAATTTCTTCTTCAGAAAATTCAGCTTCTAACAAGTGAAAAGAAGGACTGGATCTAACACTCTTGAAGTCCCCAGTTAAGACAGGTCTGATCTTCCAATCATCTGTGAATAGATTTGAGAAATGATTCCATACCTCATGCTTGACAATATTGGGCTCCTCAAAAGACGCATCCCCTACTGTAATGGAATGGATGGTGTTTCTAGCTTGCCTGCTACTTGCCATTGCATGGAAAATTTAGTGTTCCTGTCGCCTTTTAGTGTCCAGTCCATCCTCGACTTTTGGAGCCACTCCCATTCCAGCTTCCTGTTTAGTGACCACTTTTCATTTCTTTTCTCTCTTAGTAGCGTCAACTCTGACTCTTCCAAGGGCCTTATTTCAGCTAATAAATCAAGTTCATGTATGACAGATTCTGTATCTTTTAGCTTGTTCGCAACATTACCATAGACTTCTTTGCTCCACTTTTTTAATGCCATTTTCAGAGCCTGCAGCTTCTTTTTCAGGAGGAATCCATCTGACCCCTGCAACTGTGTTTCCCTCCAAGTGGTCTCCACTATAGAAGCTAGGTTTGGGTGTAAGAGCCAAGCATTTAGAAACTTGTATGGTTTAGGTCCCCAGTCCCTACCATCTTCCATAAGTACAAGTGGGCAGTGGTCAGAGACCGTTCTGGGGAGGCCCCAGAGAATGAGTTTGAACCTCACCAACCACTCAGGGCTAATGAGAAACCTGTCAATTCTACTCCACTTATTCCCATCCAAAGCATTGCACCAAGTGAATTTTCTACCTATCATTGGTACATCCACCAACTCACAATTATCTATGAATTGGTTGAATTCCTTCATGCCCCTGTCCCTGCATGAGACCCCTATCCTTTCCCCTACTGTTCTGATTTCATTAAAGTCCCCCCCAAGGCACCATGGTTTTGGGAAAGAATGTTTTAGGTTTAGTAGGGTCACCCATAATTCCTTCCTTCTTACTACATCATTTGAAGCATAGATGTTGATAATTACACAATCAAAAGAGTTTTGGATTTTACCTGACAGAAGGATGAAGCTTCTGGTGCAACAACAGTCTGAAAGGTGGAAAAAATCCGGGTCCCAAATGCAAATCAAACCACCTGCTAGACCTTCAGCATCCACAGCCATAAATTCGAACTTGTCTCTGGGCCAAATACTCTTCACCCATAAAATATTAGTGCTTGATTGTTTTGTTTCTTGAAGCAAGACCATATCTATTGTTTTATCAAGAAGAAGCTTCCTTATTTTCCTTCTCTTTGCAGGCCTCCCAATTCCTCTAATATTCCAGCTCAGCAACTTCATTGGAAACAAATTGACTCTCAGATGCCTCCAGTAGAGGTTAGTTATTCCACCATGGTAGTTCCTCTTCTTAATCTTTCTTTATCCTGCTCCTCCATATTTGTGAGTTTCTGTATGACCTCAGCTTCTTGACCCTTGAAATCAAAGCCTAGACTTTCCCCTACCTGCAGTGTTGCATGTGCTTCTTGGAGAGTATCCCTTGCAGAAACAGAGTTGGAGGAAATAGGTTCAGCTGAAGATCTTGATTTAGCTCCTTTAATGGTACCTTTACTTGTGCTTGCACCTTTGTGCTCCATTCTCCTAGTGAACCCAGAGAATCTGCCTGCAAGTAATTGATGTTTAATCTTGTCTCGTCTGCTGCCTTTTCTTTTCCATTTCTTTGGCCGGTTTCGGGTGGGGCCTGGGATGGATGGGCTGGTTATGGTATTGGTCTTGGACTGGGGTGCCTCCTCTGCTGTTGGTGAGCTGTAAGTTGATGTCCCCATGGGCTGCAGATTCACTTGGGCTATCTTAGTGGGCTGCAGGCCATTGTGGCCGTGGTCCAAGTTTACCTCAAGGCAAATGCCAGGTCTTTCCTTAAAGGGCTCACTGAGGCTTTTTATAAAACCTGTTGTCTCATCTACGGCTGGGGTAAGTAGTTGCCCATCTATGGTAGGGGCTAGATAGGCTATAGGGGCTCCTTTTTGAGGAAAAGGATTACACTCTACGCTTTGTTGCTGATTTCCAACAGCTGTATCTAGCTGATTTCCATCACCTTTTTGAGCAATCTGATTGAACCGATGCTGTAGGCATACTCCTGGTAATGATGATTCTGCGGCACATAAACCCACATCTTTTGAATTTCCCACACAAAAAATGGTCTCTGCTACGGCTGAGGTGTTACTCCAGCTGCCCTCTACAGCCAGCTCACCCTTGCCCTTCAACCGAGATGTCACCACTCCATTTGTTAAATCAGGCTCTCCGACCACTTCACCTGCCACTTCAGCAGCCTTGTCATCATCTTCTTCTTCTGTGTGCTTGTGCTGGATGTTTTGCGGTGCACCGTTAACTTTGGATCCAACAGCTTCAAGTGGATCCTTGAAAGCTGTTTTGTTGGAGCTTGAGTTATTGTCCTCAATGGACTGCTCTTCAAAGACTCTAATGGGGTAAATTTTCCCGTTGCATTCAAGGTTGATGCTTGTGGTGATCGGATCCATAACATTTGTAATAATGCTAAATCTGCCACAGCGAAAAGATCTGGGTGTACTTATGTGGCCATCTAAGGAGACCAACTCCCCCCATAATCTTGCTATCTCTTTGAAAGTGTTGGAGCTCCAAAGATTAGGAGGGACTCCGTAGCAATTAACCCAGACGTGTCTCTCTTGCTGAAGATGCATACCCGATCTCCATTCGGTAATATATTCAGACCATTCATGAAACCAGTCTAGAAACCGAGGTTTTTTACTCTGCAGTTCTTCCTTGTTGGGGAATGATAGCAGCATATCCCGCCCTCCTCCTTCCCTGACCATCACATTTTGTTCACCTCTTTTGGTGAGTTCATTTTTCACCTGTAAAATAGAATGACCCATTTTGAGTCTCATAATTAGGCTCTCATATAACCAACCATTACCTATCTCTGCTACTCGGATGGTTATTCTTGATGCAGGTCTTGGTTGGTCCCCTTTGATAACTTCCGCGAAAGTCCTGCCGTCAATGCCGTGGGTCCTTATGTTTGTGTTTGCCATGGCTGGTATGAGCCTTGTCGAATGTTGTCTTGGTGCTATGGTTCTCAGCCTCTGCTTTGGCTCCGTGTGCTTGTCGTACTCTGCTACTTTAACTGATAGAGATTTATCGTCGATCCATAATCCATTGGCTTTTTGTTCTGCGACAGTGGCTGCAATGGAGCAATCATACCGAACGAATCCAAATCTTGTATTTGTTAATCGCCTTCTCTTTTGGGGGATGAAAACATCCTTGACCACACCAAACTTTGAGAACAAAGTGTACAGGTTTTTTGGATTCATAGACTCCGGCAAGTTGTCCACAAAGAGTGTGTACAAGCTGGCTCTTCGACCATCTAACCACGGACTCTGGTTTATCTGATTTCTTCTTTGATGCACGACAGGGATCCAGCCTCCTAGTCTTCCTTTCCCTGCATGAGACCCCTATCCTTTCCCCTACTGAAATTTTGGTAAAAGTTTATATTATTTGTTGTTTAGACAAATGGTACAATATTTTTGATGTTTATTCTACTTAAATTTGAGAAATTTAGTTATAAAAAGTTTGAAAAGTTTAGGGCATCGTTTGGGGCTTGGTTTTTTTAAATATTTTTTAATATTTTTTGATTGTTTTATAAGTTGAAAAGATTCTAATGGATTTGATAATGCCTTTTTTTAGTTGAATGAAAAAACATGTTGACTTGTTTTTATGACTTGCTTTTGTAGCAACTTTTAACCTTTTGTTTTTTGTTTTTTTTTAAATAGAAACTTTTGGCTTTTTTTACCCTAAAAGTCAAGTTTTCAAACAAGGCCTAAATGCTATTTAGTTTAAAAGTTTTTTTCGATTTTCTAGAATTTGCGAAACTTGAACATGCAAGGTGACCCCATCTCTACAAATTTTTGGAGACGCCACTTACTATTACAATTGAAAGTAAGTGAATTAAAGCGAAATTTTGATGAAAATGCAAGGATGCTAAATGTAATTTAACCATATTGTATGTAGAAAACTTCATTTTGCCTTCTAAATTATTATTCAAAAATTAATTTAACCCATGTTCTTTTAAAATATCAATTTTATATCTAATCTATTTGATTTTGGATCAATTTCACTCCGCCGTCAATTTTCGACTATAACCAAATGGAAGTTGCTGATGTAACATTTTGCCCCCAAATGAAGTTTAATATGATTCATACAACAAATATGATCAGATTTACACTCAATTCTTTTTCTTTTTTCTTTTTCATTGTAGCCATCCGCAATATGAACAACTTAGAGGAGCTGGATTTGAGTTACAATTCAATAGAAGATATAAAAGGTATACAATAGTGATTTCACAAAAGTTCTTAGAGGTTCTACTCTCATTTTCCTAGCTGAAAAAGATTTAAAGGCAATATTGTTCACTTATAATATTATTTCCCACAATAGGTTTTGTACAAAAATAATGTTTGTAAATCATTATCCCAAATGAAGCTCTCCAACTTTCTTAGTAAATAAACTAGCTATTCTTTTGTTATTTATTATTATTAGTAATAAATAAGATGGATTTCATAACAATTTTGCATTTCCTCTTAGTTTGTGAGGATGGTGGTGACTTGAAATGGAAATTGATTTTTGCAGGTTTTGAAAGACTATCTGTATTACGCAAGCTGAAGCTACTTGATTTGACCTACAATTCATTCAATAATGGCATCGTACCATCTCTTGGTTTTCTCTCATCACTCAAGACTTTATCCATACAGTACAACAATTTGAATGGATCAATTGATATAGGAGGTAAGTCTAATAATAAAACAATTCAGATGTTCACAACAAGATAATCTTTCTAGCATCAAAATGAGTCGGCAACCACATGAACAAGTGCACAATATCCATGTGTTCTACCACCTACTGAGACTGGTAGACAATCGCTTTGAAGATTCCCTAGATTGTTTATATATGTTCTTCATCATTGTTTGTTATGACCAATGTTAGGATAAATTATTAAATATTTTCAAAGGTATTGTTTACGTGGTATTTTTGGCAAATGAAAAATCACAATACATACTAAATGAGTCATTCTTTATCTGTAACTGCCTAACAAAGATTAGTCAACATATTCCACTTGTGAAATTTTTTACTATGTGATTGGTTTGAAACACCATATAAGCAATGCTACATGTCTTAGACAAAATTGTGGGCAAAAAAAATTATTAGGTAGTGTTGGAGTACCATGTGACATTTTCTATGCGATGCTCTTCACAAAGTGAAATCACCAAATACACTAGGTCAGTCATTCCTTATCTCCCAATTACTTAACAAATATAGGTCAACATTGTCTCATTTGTAAAATTTTTGGTTACATCATTAGTTAGGAACACCACATGCACAAATATCACATGATATTCCTAAACTATCGAATAATTACCCAATTTCATGGTCAAACTCGACAAAAAACCATAATAGGACCAAAAGAGTAAGTCTTGATTCAGATTGAATCTATTACATAAAGGTGTATACTGGTGAATTTATAAACCAATAGGGCTTTAGATTTACTCAATTTTTGTTTCTTTTTTAGAATTCCATAATATGAGCAACTTAGAGGAGCTGGACTTGAGTCACAATGACATAGACAACATAAAAGGTAATGGTGAAGGTTTTAAGGGTTGTATTCTCTTTTTCCAAGTTGAAAAATATTTAGGAAAAAATTCACTTTACCTCCTTATAGTTTGAGCTCGGAGCATTTTATCCCATTATAATTTAAATATAGACAGAGAGTTCCCTTGTGATTTTAAACTAAACTACACTACTAACTCTGTTAATGAAAAAATAGAAAAAGACCATTATACTCACGTCCTTGTCTTCCTCATCTTTCTTTATTAATAGACGTAAATCACTATCACAGTTGCATTCAACCCAACCAACACCATTAATTTTAATGAATAAAAAATAAGAATAATTACTATTCAATGTAAACTTTTATAAATAATTTTAAATTAATGGTAAAAATTATGTACATCAATAATTAAAGTCTTAAAATTTTGTGTGAATTTATAATTATTTTGTAAAACTATCACTGAATTATAATTTTTCTTAAAAAATATACACAAAGTAATCTCATTTAAGAGAAAAAAAAAGTATATTATAAAAACTATACATATATACACCAATGATAATAAATATCCAGTAATTGAAACCCTACATATAACTAACCTTAATAATTGAAATTGGTAAATTGAACCAGTATGAAATGTGGTTGTATGTGCGACTGTGTGAGAAGTATAGAACGTGAGTGTGTGTGCAAACTATGGTCGTCTACACAACTATGTTGGAAGTGTGAATTATAAATGTGGCTGTGATTCTGTGAGAACCAGGGGAGGGGTGATGAGGTAATTGAAGAGGTCGGGAAGAGATAGAGAGGGGGATGCGGCAGTTGTTGATGAGAGAAGATGTGGTGGCAGGTGGTTAGAGAGAGGAGAGGGGGCAACAACCGGTGGTCTGAGATGGGGTGGCAAGGTGGTTAGGGGTTGGAGTTGGAGAGTTTTTTAGGTTTGAAGGTAAATGATGAAGATGGAAGGATGAATGGAAAAGTTGGGTAAAAATGACTTTTTTTTTTTTATTTTTTTTATTTTGATTTTACTTTAGTTTCAACAAAAAAAATATGCCCACTCTTAAAATTGGCAAGTGCATTACACTTTCCATGAACTTTGATGGAAAAAGTAACCATTGCAGTTTAGTGTAAAATTACAAGGGAGTTCTTTACCTATATTTGAATTATAGGGAGTAATAAGGATAAAATAAATTATGCCCAAAGATTTACAAGCAAAATCATATATTTACAATTTTGTTTTTTTCACACAACAGGTTTGAAGAGTTTAAGCAAGCTAAAGATGTTGAACCTCCGATGGAATGAATTAAAAGGACTGGTCACTAGTAATGGTGAGAACTTAAGCTTACTTTGAATTAGCATTAATTCACTTAATAGAAAGAAAAAAATTTATAAATATTTTATTCAAATTGATGTGGCTCCTATCATGTTTATTCACTGGATCCCATTTTAAATTCTCAAGTTCTATGTCGCATGCCACGTTAGTAGGTGCAGCGTTTTCTTTATATAATAATAGGAAGTTCTATTAAATCTGTTATGTTAGGGAAAGGCTATAGTATAAATATTTTGAAACAAAACTACAATGATTCATAATTTTTTTCGTCATAATAGTTCATAATTTCTTAATGTATATAACATAACCACAATAATTCATAATTTCTTAATGTATAGAACATAACCACATTAGGTCATAATGTAACCAAAATAATTCGTAATCAAGACTTTTATTATAGTGCACCCCTTTCTAATATAACCACAATAGTTTTTAACTAGGGTAAATTACAACGGTAGTTCCTGTACTTTGGTTCTTATGTCATTTTGGTCCTTGTAATTTTAATTGGCTCGATTTTGACCCTGAATTTATAACTTCATCTCAATTTGGTCCAATTGATTACAACCTTTAACATTTTTTTTTAATGTAAAACACGTACATAAGTGGCTTGTGTCATAATTTGAAGGACAAAAATATAAAGTTAGTCAACTCAATGAGTTAATCTCAACCAATTCAGTGATAATTTTTTGTCGGAAACACTATCAGCATTATCAATTATACCAAATTGACATAAAATCTAAAACTAAGAGTCAAATTTGAGTCAATTGAAACTGTAAGGACCAAAATGACACAAGGGGAAAAATATAGGGACCGTTGGTGTAATTTGCCCTTGTCACTAATACCGCAAAATTTTAATTTTTTTTTTCTTATCATAAGAAGTGTGTACCATAACCTCTTTTGTTGTCTTTTGTTATATGGTTGAGTTATTGGGCCACGATGCATCACCTTATCACAATGATCTGATATTTGAAGATTCTTTGTGACTTTCATATAAGATATCACCATATTTTCATGGCACATAATTTTTAGTGGATAATTCTTTAGCTACATCTTTCAGGGTTGGATGGATTGAAACACTTACAGGAGTTGTATTTGGATTATTCATCCATTGACAAGATCTTTCTTCATAATGTTGGAGTAATGTCCTCCCTAAGGGTTCTGACATTGCGGAATAATGGCCTTAATGGAAGCCTACCTAACCAAGGTATTCACAATTTGATCATATTCCTTGGATTAATTGTGTTATGATTTGAATGTGCCTCCATCCAGATAAAATGTCTAAGCTAAGCATCACTTCTTTTATTTCACAGGTTGGTGTGAACTTTCTAACCTCCAAGAGTTAGATCTCAGTGAGAATGGTTTTAATGGAATGCTTCCCTCATGTTTGGAAGACTTAACATCAATTCGAATATTAGACCTCTCTTTCAATCAATTCACTGGAAGTCTTACTTCATCTCCCCTTAGTAATCTCACAACACTTGAATATCTTTTCCTTTCATATAACCATTTCGAAATCCCAATCTCATTTGTTTCATTTTGTAACCATTCAAAGCTTAAGGTATTTTTAGGTGACAACAACAGATTGAGTGATCAAATTGAGCTTCAAACATGGATTCCTAAGTTCCAACTGAAGGTTCTTAGTTTATCAAACTGTGGATCAAACAATCTTGGTATGAAATTTTCACATTTTCTTTTTTACCAATATGACCTCAGAAGAGTTGATCTATCACACAACTTGGTCAAAACATTCCCAGTTTGGTTGTTAGAAAATAATACGCGATTGGAAGTTTTTCGTCTAATAAATTGCTCCCTCATGGGGCCTTTCCTACTGCCATCATATCCTAAACCCCATGCCATTTCAATTGACATTTCTGACAATCATATTGAGGGCCCAATTCCAACAAATATAGGTTCGATCTTTCCAAATTTGAGGAATTTAAATTCATCTAGAAACCTTATTCAAGGTCATATTCCTACTTCTTTAGGTGATATGCACTCTTTGGAGATTTTGGACTTATCTAACAATAATTTGTCTGGACAAATACCAAAGCATTTGACAATTGGTTGCCCTCTTTTATTCTTCTTCGCACTATCAAACAATAATTTGTCTGGCCAAATATCTTTTTCGTTTGTAAATTTAACTTGGTTGGGATACTTATATTTGGACAATAATTATTTCACGGGCAAATTTCCAGATAGTGTATCTATTCCTCCTTTTCTGCGAGCATTTGGTATTGGCAACAACCACATGTTTGGAAAGCTTCCAAGATGGATGGGGAGCGTGTTGACTCTAATGGGAATTTCTATGTTCTCAAATCATTTTGAAGGTCCTATTCCAATAGAGTTTTGCACACTTGGTTTTCTTCAATTTTTAGACCTTTCGGAGAATAACTTGTTTGGTTCTATACCGTCTTGCTTCAACCAATTGAAAATTAAACATGTCCACTTGAACCAAAACCAGTTGAGCGGTCCAATGACACGTGCATTTTACAACAGTTCTTCTTTGGTGACATTAGATCTTAGCGATAACCACCTAACTGGTACCATTCCCAGTTGGATTGGAAGCCTTCATGTGTTGAGCATTCTTCTTTTAAAATCTAATAGTTTAGAAGGTGAAATTCCAGTTCAGTTATGCCAGTTGAAACAATTAAGCATATTGGACCTTTCTGAAAATAACTTTTCTGGTCCCATACCACCTTGTTTTCATGAAATACCTTTTGAGACAACCCATGAAAAATCTTCTCTACAAACTAGCACTGGATTTATATTTTCAACATTTGCATTGTGGAGCTTTGTCGACAGGTCAAAGTCACTAGGAAACCACTATCTGGTGGATGATTCATATGGAGGTATTTCCATCAACTCTTTGGATGTCCAACAAAAAGTGGAGTTCACAACAAAGCATGGATCCTACGCATATAAAGGCAATATTTTGGACTACATGTCTGGAGTTGATCTCTCTTGCAACCACTTAACAGGAGAAATCCCATTGGAAATGGGAAACTTGAGCAACATCCATATTCTAAACTTGTCTCATAACAATTTATACGGATCAATCCCGTCAACATTCTCACAACTAAAGCAGATAGAAAGTTTGGATCTCTCTTACAATAGATTGAATGGAAAGATCCCTTCTCAACTGATTGAATTGAACATGTTGGAAGTCTTTAGTGTGGCATACAACAACTTATCAGGTGCAACCCCAGATCGAAAAGCTCAGTTCGCAACTTTTGAAAAAAGTAGCTATGAGGGAAATCCCCATCTTTGCGGACTTCCCTTGCAAACCAACTGCACTAAAATTGTATCAACATCAACAATGTCAAAAGGCCTAGAAAGAAATATTGAAGATGGTAGTTTCATAGATATGGAGGTTTTCTATGTCAGCTTTCTAGTCTCATATATTGTTATGTTGTTGGGGATTGTTGCAATTTTGTTCATAAATCCTCATTGGCGACAAGCTTGGTTTCACCTCGTTGAAATGTGCATGACCTCTTGGTACTACTTCTTTTTGGACAATTTTATGAAGTTTTTTTGCAACAGAAGTATGTAATCTCCTTGATGAAGATGCAAATTCTTGAATTTGAGCCTGAGAAAATGAAATATATATTAGCTTTCTGGTTTGACCTATGTTACTAATTTTTTTTCTAGAAAAGTTTGTTGAAATAAGTTGCCCATAATTGTGGGTTTTAACAAGATGTCTATCAACATAGATGTTGTAGTATTGTCATGCAATGACACAAATTGGCGTGCTTGATTGAAAATTCCCATTATGAAGTGGACTAGAATTTCGGGTGGAATGTTAACACTTCTACCAATAGAATTGAGATGTATGAATAGCTCTTGATGAAGGCTTTATTTAATCTCATTTCATGTATTTTGTTGCCACAAAATTGTTTCAATTCTCTGTAGAGCTTGGCATGTAGTAGCATTCTTGTATTCTATGTTTTTATTTATTTATTTATATTTTTATTGGGCTATTCTTGCATACTATATGTTGACAAGGCTTTCTTCCTTAATTTTTACTTTCACAATGTTAGTCTACAAGCAGTTACCTTTGTAAACGTATCCCAAAAGTGTAGTGTATAATGTACATTTAATTTACTTTTTTTATTGATGAAATTTAATAGTTCGTTATTAGATTAGCACATAAGGGGAGTTTAACTTATATTCACTCCTTGCAACCACTTAAGTTTTGTCTCTCATTTCATTTCTAAGAGTGAAACAAAAGACTCTCCCTAAGAGAGATTTAGTGGTCAAACGATTAGCCACACATGCTAGAACCTCTTGGTTCAATTAATTTATTGTTATGTGGGCCATATCTTAAATAAATGTAATCACACATTTTGTTTTGAGTTAATCACACCAAGACCCCCTAAACTAATAGAGAATAATATTACTTTGATCTTCTAATCTATGAACTCGTGCATTTTGACTCCCTCAACTACAAAAATATATTACATTCACTCCTTCCAGACCACTTCAAAATGGGTATATTATACTATTTTCATAGTTAAGAGGTCTATATATATAGATCCATAGATTAAGACGTAAAACTGATGTTTGTCAATAATTGAGTAGGTCTTGGTGTAATGAACCATTTTGGTGAAAAGTTTATTTTAAAGGAGGTGTAAAGCATTAAATCCCATGAATATTTTTCTTTGGTGAGAAGTACACTCTTTGTGAAATATTATGATGAGAAGTACATTTTATTATTTTGGAGGACATTTTCTTTTAAATTTTAATCCTTAATCTATCCGTTAAATTTTTTTATCTATTTAATTTTTGGGTGATTCTATTTACACACCATCAATGCTTTCAGTACACACTATTATTTAGTTTACATCAATAATATTTTAAACTTTTGATTTTTACTTAACACACACCATAATATTACTCTTTTAGTCTAACCCACACAACACAATACACACTCTAACACAAGATGATGTATGCACCATCAAAGTTGAAAAAAATAATAAGATCCAAAATACAAATCACGGTAATTTTAGATTCATGTGTGTCTCTCTCTCACCCAATTTGTGTTGAATCTATGAAAGTAACGTGAGAGCAAACGGCGTTGCCAATGCGCTGCGGTGCTATTCAAACAAGGGGCAACTTTCTGTTGCCATGCAGCTCTCCTCAAACAAGGGGCAATTTTCCTTGGGATCTGAGGTTGTGCATCTCAAGAGTAAGTTCCGTGCTCGTTGAGCAGTGGCTGTTTGCAAAAACAATTTTTGAGAATTTTTACTGAGGTTGACTGATCTCTCAAACATTATTCCATCTTTTCCAAAACTAGACCATTTCTTGGAACCAAAAAGGAAAAATTTTCAGTGCTCATAACCTAACTTGCATGATTTTCAAATCAAAAATCGAACAAGTATGTTAATCTAACTCTCATATTGGTCAAAATTGTTTTAGTAGAAAGCAAAAACAAAAAATGGTCAAAATGATGAAATAGGGGCACGGTTGAGTCAGGTGTTCTGTCTTTCTCCCGTTGTCAACATACTTGCCAGAAAGGGCACTCTACTTGCCGAAAGGGCACCGTATTTGCCAGAAAAGGGCACCATTGAGGTTAACAACAAAAGGGCAAAACAAGGCATGGCAAAGTATTTCAAGCAAATGGTGCACCAACACATCCCTTATCATGTTTGTGACTCAAAGGGGTATGTCCCTTAATTCTCGGACCACGAATCGCGCATTTCAATGCGTGATGGCCCAAGGAACCAAGTCATGCATTTTGATTTCAAATGAAATGCAATGCATAGAAACATACCAAGGGGCTTTCAACCTCTATCATGACTTGATCAAGAGGTGAAAGATGCGTGTGTAGACACCCCATTTTTGACCGTCCTCAAGACTTGGACGTCACCGTTTGAGCACTCGGTGATCATCCATGTTTGTGTTCGTTTTGAGTACCCAGAGGTCTCGGCTACGCGCCTTGCATCAGGATCTCTCAACTCGACTGTTTTGTGTTTGGTTTGGCACCAAACACTTGTGTTTTGCCTTGAGGGGGGCAGGGAATGGCTTATTGGCCATCCCTACACTCCACCGGCCATGGCTTGAGGCCACCGGCTCTGTTTTGTTGCCACCGGCCAAATGTTTGGCCGGCCGGCACTATAGATGGTCGACCGGCCATCTATTTTGGTCAAATTGCATTTTTGGCCGGCCGACTACTGTGCATCTACTTTTGCAGATATTTTTATGCCATCTATGCTAGCTGGCATACACTTTGCTCCCCTCCATACACGTGTATGGAGGGATCTCCTTCTTGTTAGCTTGCCTTGGAAGCTTTACAAGATTGGATTGTCTATAAGAGGAGGCCTCTTCTCCCTCTTTTAGGCTAGACAACATTTTCAGAGGGCTCTGGTTTTAGGGTTTGAGTTGTGTATCTATCCTATATCTATATCTCACTCTCTCTTGTGTTTTGTGTGTGTTTTGTCTTACTTTTGTGCACAAACACCCACCATTACGCCTTTCTTTAGCTACTGAGGTACTAAGAGGCTGTTCTTGAAGTTTTGGAGCTGGTTTGAGCCAGAGAAGCTGCTGGTCCATCATTCTTGAAGAGGGTCAACAAGGGTAAGAACTTATCCCTTTTATTCTCCATTTTTGCATAGCTCTTTAGTCTGCTTTGCAACTATTTTTAGACTTGGTGTATAACATATAAATTTTTTTTTTTTACCTACTCTAAATAGTTGGCTAAGGGTGTTTTGAGCTTTGAGGTTGTTGGACCCCTCTTAGGGCTTATTTGACCCCTTTTTTGTGCCATTTTGGTGAGCTCCGGGACCATTGTGTTTGGGCCTTCTCACCACTGAAATCTTGAGGGATTTCAGTGGTAAGAACGGTGCCTAGAGGTCCTAAGAAGGAGAGGGCCACCCCCTCTCCTTGTTGTCCTTGAAAAGGGCCATTTTAGCCTTTTGAGAGAGCATCTTGTTTGAGTGTATGTTGGCCTTGCCATAACTAATTTTTGTGCTTATTATGTCATAATATAGCTCTATTTTTAGTTGGTTTAGACACACCTTGTATGCCCTGCATACATGTCTTGTAATGCCATCATTTTGCCTTAACATGTACTTAGCATATAGATTACCATGCTTGCTTGTTTTGGCCAAGCTTTGTGAAGCGTTTAGGCTTGTTTTGCCATGCTTAAGGTCTGATGCAGGTTGTCATAGCCATGCTTGCCATGCTTTGTATAGCCCCTTTGCATTTTAGCTTGTTGGCTTTAAGTGTATGAACCACGAGCATGCATTACTTGCATCATTTTTAGTGGTTTAGCACCACTTATCATGACATTTTAGTCCACTTAACATGCTCGCATGCTTGCACTTAATGCTCCTTTGATGCATGAAGAGGTTGTGTTGTATGCTCCATGTTTAAGCACTTGTGCATGCCTCCATGTGTAGATCATTTGGATGCGATCTAAGTGGTTTTTGGGGCTTGCCTTAACATGATTTGGGACTGATTTGATTCATTTTGATCATTTGCTTCATGTGTCACATGATCATGATTTAAGCCCTTTGGCTTGTCTTGGATTTTGGGTTTTATTTGCATGCCATGTCTATTTTGCTTACTTGGTTTGGCACCATTCTTAACATGATTTTCAAAGCTTAGTGTGCATGCTATATGTCCATGTTTGCATCCTCTTAAGTGTGCTTGAGAGTTGCTCTTCAATGCCTAAGTGTTGGTCCTTGTGTGCATGCATGCTTGCATGTTATTTGGTCATCATTCCCTTAGCATTTGGCCACTGTTTTGGGCCTAGTATAAGGCTGTCCAAATCAGTTTTAGACCACCCCTTGCATGTTGATGCATGCTCACCTTGTGTGTTGTTGCATACTTGTGTGTGGTTGCATGATTGAAAGAAGTCACATGCTTACTTGCATGCTTGAACGTCCACATTGTATCTTGTATGCTTGTTGATTAGCATTGATGCCTCATACCTTGCATGCTTGCTTGCATAGGTTGCACGCCTAATATGCATTGTACACTGCTTGTGCCCATGCTCATGTTGCATACTTAGCTCACATGCTTAGGTTGCATTTGGCATGCAAGCCTCGCCTTTTGATCAAGTGATAGAGGTTGGGCCTCTTTGTTTGTTTATGTGCTTGCATTTGATTTGATATCAAAGTGCATACTTGGTTTCTTGGGCCATCACGCATTGAAATGCGCGATTGGTGGTCCGAGAATCGAGAACCATGTCCCTTGAGTCATAAACATGATAGGGGATGTGTTGGCACACACATTTGCTTGAAATGCATTGCCATGCCCTGTTTTGCCCTCTGCTGCTGTCAAAATAGATTCTGCAGGAAGCTTTGGCCGGCCGGCCATCTCCACTGCCGACCGGCCATCCATAAATGCCCGATAGCTTAATCAGTGGCCGGTGACCATTCCCCTTGGCCGATGGCCATTCCTCTCAGCCAGTGGTGTTCCACAACACTCAGAGAAGCAACCTTGGGACTTGTGCAGTCTTTAGAGGAGGATAACAGTCAAAACAGAGGCAACTTGTGCATGGCAGTGGCTTTCTGAGCGGAGTCGAACACGCATTGCATTGGGCCCTCTTCCCGAGACTGTTTACTGCTTTCTTAGATTGGTTAATTTGCTTCACTAGTTTAATTTGTTTAATTGGT